TGACGGCAATCGAATGTGCAGGAAGGCAGCTTCCACACCGGGACCAACGGCTTTACTTCCCTTCTGAAGGAAGACTTGATCAGAGATTTTTATGCCTCAGAAAAATCCCACCGACCTCGGCTGGGGATTGAATCCAGACCCATTGGTGTGTTAGAAGGCAGTCACGCTTACCACTACACCACCAGCGCCGGAAAATGACTCATTCAACCTGCATGTTTTGCGCACTGGTCGATGTTGAAGACCTCCACTGAAATCTGGAATGGAATGCCCTTGAAATTTTTTGGTTCATTCATATAGGTGATCCGGAGGTTACTTACTTAAACCTAATTAGTTCGATTTGAAATTTTGTGAAGCAGAATAATTACACAACCATGTAGGGTATACGTCCCTAACCTCGGTCTAATATGCAGCCATCGATTACGTTTTTAATCATAACTCATCAATGAATTTACCTGCAAACGATATTCTACTGCTAAATGGTATGCTTAGATATGCTTATCATGTCGTTTGCTATCAGAAACCACGAAAAGTTGAAAAACTTACTTTTTTTAAGACAATAACTCACGAGGGAAATGTATGTAATATGGGTCTATTGTCCCCAAATTGGGTCTATTTATGGATGCAACTTCGTCCTATCTTGTTTGATCCTCAAAAAAACGCTCTTGGTAACGTTTTCTGATGTATTTTTTTTTATCACTATCACTGTTAACTTAATGCTCTTCATTCCTCAAAACATTTCTTAGAGAAAATTTTACGAAAACTACATTAAATCACTCAATTTAAAAATTAAAAATTAAAAATTTCGCTTATCGTCTTTTGACCGCAGAATATCTAAATCAGAACATTGTGATGTTCATTATACAGGTTTGGCAGAAAAAATCTCCCTTCCTGTTCGTTCCTTATCATCCAAATGCAAAACAACATTGTTGACGTTACTCTTATTGCTATATGCTGTCAAATGAATTTCATGGGCCATAGTTAGGAACATAGAAAAGAAATGTGTCCCTAAAGTTGGGTCCATGTTTTACTTGTGAAAACGTTGTTAAACAATTAAAATAAACATAAAATATTCAAACAGCAACTGTAAGTTTTACGTCTAGTGTGTATTATCAGGTAATTCCAATCAATAAATGCCATAATCAGGCCATTTGATGATCGTCAGTCAACCTTCCCATCTTAACCTTAGAAGTCATGGCGGCTAAAAACTCCGAACAGAGTGATATTCTCAACCAGTTTTATTACTTACGAGAGCTGAAAATGTATTGAAATGTTGTGATATAAATTGATTTGTGTGTGGTACACATTTATCAACCATCAGTGATCAATATTTTCCTTATTTTTTGTGTAATATTCCTTAATTAATTATTTATTTGCGTGATAGGCCGAATGAAAGGACTAGACCCACATTACATACCGTAACCCTACATTTAAAAAAAAAAAATATCTGCATCGAGATGGACGAAATATCTTTCCCAATACTTTTCAGGAGCCACATTATGCATCCAATACGACTCTACTTTTTCTTTTTCGCAAAAGCGTTCATACGAAAAACACTTTGTTTCGACTACCCCAATGAGGTCCTAGATTTGCAACCAGTGCAGTGGGGCAAGAAAGGTAAGAACAGAACAGAAGTTCAGGAAAGTCATGGAAGCATAGTTTGAATTCAGGGAGCTTTATACAAGTGCAGGGAACGTTGTGAAACTTCAAGGAACTTCGTAGAAGGTCAGGAAACGTTGTAGAAGAAATTCATGGAACTTGGTTCTTCTAGGTTTTTTACGCTTCTTTTGTGGTAGTTTTGCCGGCTTTCAACTTACTGTTCTAGATGCACTTCCACAATTATTAATTAATTGAGAGCTTTCTATGCCGGCAACACCAATGCATGATTTTGTATATTGTGTGGCAAGCGCCCTAGGGAAATCGAGAAAATTTCCAACCCAAAAGATTTCCTCGACTGGACTGGGAATCTGACCAACCGCCTTTGGCTTTACCTTGCTTTTACTAACTAAAAAAATAATTCACACCCCACAGGAAAAAAAATCCGGGAAATTAGTTTTATGTTCCTGTAGGAAGATGGAAGAAACTGTCGGGGGATATGGGAAGTAATAAAAGAAAGTCTGGAGGAACTTCTGGAAGTAGTCGGAAGACACTTCCAAAAGAAGCCATAGAAATGCTTTTTGGTGGATCTGAAGGACAGTCCTAGAGTAAGTTGTAAGAATCTTCTGAGGGAATTGGATCGACTTCCGAGAAACGTCGGCTACAACTTCCAGGGAAGTCGGAAGACAATTAAAGGGGAAGCCACAAGAACCTCGGAAGAATGTTCAAGTATAAGTTTTATTATTTTTTTTTTTTAGTTCTTTATTAAGGAGATTTTTAGTCTATGGCTAGTTCATCTCCGAATAAGTTTTATAAGTTTTAATAACTTTCTTGAGACTTCCCTATTATTCTTCTTCTACTTTTATTTAGGAGATTTTCAGCCGGAGGCTGGGTCATCTCCGAATTTAGGTAGTTTATAACGGGTATTTTTTCCGAAGCATGTTTCTAACCTAAAATGGACCGACCATATAAACGAAGTCACCAAAAAGATCTACAATACTCTTCGTACGTTCAGGCGCTTCCGTGGAGTGCTTTCCAGACAGATTCGTATGCTGCGACGTCGTGTACTACCCAGGACTGTCCACCGCGCTCAAGGCTCAGTTGCATCGATGCTTCAAGTCGTCGGTGAGGTTCGTGTATGGTATCCGAGGGCGTGACACGACCAGAGAAGTGCGACACACCATACTCGGATGCGATCTACCGGAAAACTACCACCGTCGTATCTGCTGCTTCATGTACGTGGCCTACCATGGAAGCCTCAAAGAGTAGGTACATCACGCAGTACACACCTAAAGGTCGGAACGAGCGAACTAGATCCTTTGTCCTACCGCATCACACCACAAGTTCCCGAAAAAGTGTTCTAATATTCGGAGCGTCCACCTGGAACGCACTACCACTAGCTACAAGGCAGCAACGGACTCTCACGTCGCTTAAAGCGGCGCTCCACAGAGCTGATTAATTCTCTAGGCTAATACCAATAGTAGCTGTCGATTTAAGAAATGTCAAATGTTTAGACTTAGACTTTAATTTCATTCTTAACTCCCCACTAAACTGATTCAAAATGGTTGCTTCCTTGACCTGATTTATGGTTCTGTAACTGATAGGTTTTCGTTATGCTATCAATAAATTACAAATTACAAATTGATATGCTCATGTTTTACGTATTTCATTTTGATTATTGCTAGCACTTAGTGGTGCGGTACTTCCCCTCAAATTGACAAAATGTAAACTAAACAGAAAGTTCCACTATTTCTTTTTATTCCCTACCCATGACACAGGCGCGCACTACCCATAATCACATATCAGTCCCATCTTTGCATGATTTCCTATCCATATATGGGACAGTAATGCGATTATGAGCACCGCAGACATTCCACTCTCCATTCCATCAAAGGCATGGGCAGTGTGCCACTAAATCAGACTAATGATTCAATCAATTAACTTGAAAGCGCGAAACATGTGAATACCCTGCAAATACAAACTACCTTATCCTCCTCTTCTCTTGGAAATTATGATACGAAAAAGAAGTAAATTTATTATCATTATCATTCCTTCTGATCATTTCCAACAGCAAACAAAAACGATGAATCTCGAAGAGCAAGTCCCGGATCGCTTTGCACAAACCACGCGCGATGTAAGTGATGATTCATTTGGCTATATAATAGTCTCGCTCCACGACCAAAGACTAGCACTATCGCTAGGCATTCCAGCTTGCCAGAGAAAAAAAAAACTAGCAGCTTTGTAAAGAACACGAACAAAGGCATTTACAGCAAGCAGAAGCAGTAGGAAGTTTGTTTACAATTCGGTCTTAAACGGCCCCGGATTGTTTGGTCAATTTTCCCTATTTTTGCAAGGTATGAACCATCAACGTCGGAATAGTATGCCGAAGGATACCGGTTTGTCGCGCGGGGACGAATAAAATAATAATAAAAACTAGGAAAGGTCATAAACACATCATAAAGCGGTGGGTGGTGCCAGGAGAGCCGACTAGCATAACCCGAGCACTGTTGTGCTTTAGCGAATGGGAACGCAATCAGAAATAGCAAGGATTCACGCTAGAGAATCACAACATACCTAGAGGTGATTATCCTGTTATTCATGCATACACAGTATGGGAAGGGCGCGATTCTGATCGCATTATTATTCCCAAGCATACTCTTCCTCTCCCGCTCTTCCAGTTGGTTCCATCGGCGGTGGAACGGTAGACGGTCATGTGTGTGGCATTGTGCGGAAAACGCCACACACCGCACACTCGCGCGTTCGTCCGCTTCTCGATGGAATTTGTTAGTATTGGTGTCAGTTTCCGTGGTGTGCTGCTGTCATTTTAGAGGTTGCCAATTTACTGGTGAAGCGATTGTGAATTTTACGGTGTTTTTCAGAACGTCTATTATTAGGGAAGTAAAAATAAGTCTTATGAATAAACACAAACCATAAATATTGTCACAATGCAGCTTCAAACATATTCAAACAAATGTATCAAAATAATAATTTTCCACTGAGAAGAAAAACCGATTCAACTGAAACGGAACAACCAATTCTGGCAACACGGTACTGATCCGGCAAACACGTCAAAATAACACCGAATGAGCACTCGGCTACGCTCTGTCACGCAAAAATACCAATACATTTGTGCAAACCAGCCAAAAAGGATTACACGAAAAGATGGCTAAAAATGTTCGTAGCATGATTAATTTGTAATGCCCTGGTTTCTTCTTCTTCTAGCCATTCCGGTAAAATCCCTGTGTAGCACCGAAAATTTCAATCTCCAGCATCCAATCACGGTCGCATCCTGTCCATTAATCACATTCCAGCCCCACAAAATCCGGCCTGCGATGACCGAAACACAGGCCAGCGCAGAACGCGAGCACATGGTTTAGTCGAAAAAGCTAGATCGGTCATTGCTTCACCTGGTTCAGTTGTTCCTCCGCCTGCAGCCGCTGGCTGGGCTCGATGGTGGCACGTAGCAATTCGCAAATTTTAGCGTTATCCATCTTGGGTGGTTGATTGGCTGTGGGGCCTCGTGCCTATCACTGTCAATCCTTTCGGTCCGCGAAATTCAGGGCTTCTCACTCTTTTTGTAACAATAATGGCCTCGGTACACAGCACGCGCGGCGGTAAACACTCGCATATGCAGAATACACGAGCGGACCGCGATTCGATGACGACTCGGATTTCCAACGCGCGCGGTCACTATCCGTCCCCACTAGAGGAGTTTGATTTTGGATGTAAAATTTTCACACACTCCCGGCAACACACGCGGAATCGGTTCCGTCCGCACCTCCGTGCTAGGATGAAAAACCAAAAAGACTGGATTGAAATTGCGAACGACACACTAACACTAGCACAGCATCGCACGCGTACGGACGGTGTAGATTTTTGGCAGTAAAGTTTGGTTCACGCATACTTCCACTTGTGGAACTTGTTGTGCGATACACACATGGGAACAAGTGAGGTGTGTTGCTAAAAGGATTTGCTTTGATATATTTTCTTGAATAATTTTAAAGGAAAAAAACATTCTTGAATGTTTCAATAGGGATGGAAACATTTATTTTTATTAGTCCCAAAACTGCTCAACTACACAGAAAAAAAGTTGTTGAATATTACATCCAAACTGCTGCAACCAGGTCAATCCATCGGTTGTGTAATATAACGTTGTACGATGTGCATCGATTTTGCGAACAAAATTAAATCCATTGATGTAATATTGTATCTGCTTTTTGCTATTAAATCATTATTTCATACATCAGCTTGAATTACATTGATCGATATTACATTTTTTTTTGCTGTGTATGATTAATTCGAGCAGTTAAAATGACGTTTACTACACTGAGGCAAATTAACTTAAGAATTTCATAAGGCCGTTCGCAATTATTGTTTCAAACTACTCGACAGTTCTAAAATTTGAAACTGTCAAAAATGAAAGTGCAACTCGATCAGCGCAACGGTGTTAGATATTCATTCCTAAATATGTGTTTTGTTTGCTTCGGTAATTCGTAATCCAGTATCAGGTAACGAGATCGAACCACGAGATTTAAATTTTTGGGCAGTTGAAGCTCTTCAGGCTAATACTAAATCATGAGAACATCCTGAGAAGTTTTTGGAGATCTCTGATCACCTGAAGGTCTTTGGAATATTTTCTAAGTGACCTGGTATCACGAGAGAATAGGTGGGAGATGTGATTTGAATTGTTGGATAGTTTGAAATCTTCATCAGAATAGTACCTGATCAACCTGAAATCTTGAAAAAGTATGAAGATGACTTATAGACATCTCAAACCAGATGGAATAATTTCGGAGCTGGTATCAAATTTGGATATTTGAGACATGTGATTTAGATTGTTCGATAATAGATAGCAGATAAAAAATTTTGTTTTGAATTTCTGTATAGCAAAATAGTGAACTTTTCGTCAACATTAACAGCAAAGAACTCACCAACACTGGGAGACCGTGAGTTCCTGCCCACCTGTCTTAAAAACATCTCGGTTCCGGCCGGTTTGGAAAACGGTAACTTAAGTTATGACTCTTATAGCAACGTCCGGTGTGGAGAGGAGTGATTAATCTAATCCAAAATGAAAACGCTGTGCGTAACTCGCATAAACGCGAACCATAAATTGACCTTACCTATAATGGTTGAAAATTGTTTATAATCCCTGCTACACTTTAACTGAAATGGTTATGGAACTTTACATGAACGTTTAATGATAAAGTTTCAACCTTATGTATTATGGTTTTTTGGAACTGGACCTTACAAATAATAGGTTGTTAAGAACCATTACCATTCCAAATTCTTGTTTTCTCCATACATTTTCAGAAAGAGAACTATATTAGAACCTTTTAACTTATGGTTTGAGAACTTTAATGGTAATGGTTATGGTAATCAGTAAGGTCCACGAATGGTTTTGTAACATCGATCAACTTTATGTGGAATATATCGCGAATTGGTTGCCTGTAATTTACTGATTACCAATTCACGATATATTCCACGTAAAGTTGAGCGATAATACAAAACCATTAATGGACCTTACTGACTACCATAACCATTACCATTAATGTTCTCAAATCATAAGTAAAAACGTTCTTATATAGTTCTCTTTCTGAAAATGTATGGAGAAAACAAGAATTTGGAATGGTAATGGTTCTTAACAACCCATTATTTGTAAGGTCCAGTTCCAAAAAATCATAATACATAAGGTTGAAACTTTATCATTAAACGTTCATGTAAAGTTCCATAACCATTTCAGTTAAGTTTAGCAGGGATTATAAACAATTTTTAACCATTTTAGGTAAGGTCAATTTATGGTTCGCGTTTATGCGGGAAGTAAAATAGTGCCGCAAATGGCAACGACTGGTAAGGTTACTCTTATGGTATCAGCTATAGTCTGAACCTGGGTTTACACTGACTGCACATATCAATGCACAGTTGGGTCATAGAGGTAACTCTAAGACCAGAAGGTTCCGAAAAAAACGTGCTCAACTTTTTGGCTCAGCTCTGGTACTATCATCGGTCCCAAGCTAATCGATTCACCCCTTCAAACATAGGAAAAACCAATAACCCCTCATTTTATCTGTCAAACTTTCATAGCGAATCAAAACAAACATTGCGTAGTACTAGAATTTCGACTATAATGGGACACGTTAATCGATTTGCTTGGAAGAATAGGCTATTCAAGTAGTGAGCCAATTTAAAATCGTTAGTTTCGTATTGATTGTTGGTAGGGTGGCCCAATATAACACTTTGTCTAAAAAACCGGGGGCTCACCCTCCAAATCATTGCTAAGGATGTTACAAAAAACATTTGTTTGGCCACAACTCTGAAAAACGTGATTTATAGGTAGCCCCGATGAGATTTTTGAAATAAGCCGACTTTTCATAGTCGTAGCGGAACAAATATTTCTAGTGACTCAAAATTTAGTTCAATCCAACCCTTTTATATTTTTAAACATTTCTTAGGGTCCCTACTATATAAGAAAAAAATTGTCACTGCCTGCTAGATGCTTCATTTTTTCATGACAGTTTTTTCAATTATCAGAAATCATGATTTTTTTGGTGCATAATTAAATCATCAAAAGGGGGTATCTACCTAAATATGATCTGTAGTTGATTTATTCCAGCTAAAAAATGGGCAATTTTAATACAAACAACTTTGCTCAAGAGTCTATTGTTGATAGCTATTAAGTTATTAATAATTTTCTGGAGAATTGTAGCCTTTTTTGCATGTTTTTCACATATTTTTATATACAAAAACGGTAAATAAACAAGATTTATTTGGAAAAGTAGTATACTTAATATCTTAAAAAAGAGCTTTTCCAAGAGTTCTAGCAGGGGGTGGAAACTAACTATTTTAAATTGATTCACTGCTTGAGTAGCCTATTGGTCCCAAGTACTTCTATGGCGTACCCCATTCTAGTTGAAATTCTATTACTACACTATGTTTGTTTTGATTCGCTATGAAAGTTTGAAAGATAAAATGAGGGGTTCGTGGATTTTTCTATGTTTCGAGGGGTGCATCGATTAGCTTGGGGCCGAAGATAGTACCAGAGCTGAGCCAAAAAGTTGAACACGGTTCTTCGGAACCTACTAGTCTTAGAGTTACCTATATGCTAGAAGGTCCCGAAGAAACGTGCTCAACTTTTTGGCTCAGCTCTGGGACTCTCTTCGGTCCCAAGCTAATCGATGCACCCCTCGAAACATAGGAAAGTCCACGAACCCCTAATTTTACCTGTCAAACTTTCATAGCGAATCAAAACAAACATAGTGTAGTACTAGAATGTCTACTAGAATGGGGTACGTTAATTGATTTGCTTGGGATCAAGTAGAGAGCCAATTTAAAATCGTTAGTTTCCACCGGTTGTACCTTCTATATCAAGAGCCACATGTGAAAAGGGCATACAAGCTTTTTGTAAACAAACCTTTGTAGGCCTTTTTCTCACCAACCGAGGGTCGGCCATGCAAACCAACAATATCATCGGGAAGAGGAAAGTTTCCCCTACCCGGTGATGTTGATGGTTTGCGTTGGTGTCATATGGGTGGCGAGAAAAGAGCATAAGAAGGTTTGTTTACAAAAAGCTTGTATGCCCTTTTCACATGTTGTGCTGGATATATGCCAAATAGTGGATATTTATAGGAGTTTCTACACCGTATTGCAAGTTCATATTATTTATTTATTTTATTTGTCGTCAATCAGTGTAGACCGTTTTACCACAGACAAACAGACATAACACATTGAATATTGTTTATCATAAAACATCGTCAGTAAAACACTACCGCCATCTGTTGAGTATACTGTGATGGGTAGTACACTGAACAGATGGCGGTAGTGTGTAAACGTCAATCGCAAGGGTTATTGACTATGCGCGCCACAGGCGGCGGTACTACCAACAATCAATACGAAACTAACGATTTTAAATTGGGCTCACTACTTGACTAGCCTATTGGTCCCAAGCAAACGATTAACGTACCCCATTCTAGTCGAAATTCTAGTACTACGCAATGTTTGTTTTGATTCGCTATGAAAGTTTGACAGATAAAATGAGGGGTTAGTGGATTTTCCTATGTTTCGAGGGGTGAATCTATTAGCTTGGGACCGAATAGAGTACCAGAACTGAGCCAAAAAGTTGAGCACGTTATTTCGGGACCTTCTAGTCTTAGAGTTACCTCTATGGTACTACCAACTAAAAACATTTAAATTGACCGTTAAATGCGTGTTCGATGAACAAATTGTCAGTGTTATGTCTGTTTGTCTGTGGTTTTACAATTGTTGCCTTAAGTACTATTTTTGGTGTGTAGATGGTGTATATACATTTAAGGATGACGTTAGATCTCATCAATGCGATGTGATACGATATCGTTTACGAATAAAATCATAGCAAATTCACGACGCTCTTTTAATGTTTGGATATTTATGATCATGAGCATACATCGAGCATGGCAGAGGAAATACACTCCAACCTAACTTGCGCGTTCCCTCATGGAATTTGAAAAAATAAAATAAAACAAAAAAGGTTGCTGAAATATCACAATATTGAGTATTTTTCTTGTGTCATGCAGTCTTTTAGAAATCCGGGAGCTAGTTTTTTTCTTTCTCGAAATTCCCACATGATGCGCGTTGTGTTTCAGGATTTTCACTTACCGCGTTCTTCAAAATAGGTATATTACAAAGCAAACGAAAATGAAGATGTATATTTTCTCATAGTATAAATAAAATGCGACATTTTATTCTGAAGCAAAACACATTAAAAACGAACATTTAAATAAAACCTAGTTAGCTACCTATAATCTTACCCTATACACGCCGTCAACCCGCTTCCAATACATGCAGCGTACCCGATTATATGCGGTATAACGTTCTGTTCGTACATGCCGGAGAATAGATGCGACCAGGGTCCATACGCGAACAGAGCCACGTCGTCTCCGCCATGCGTTTCGTACTTCAGAGGAACAAGTTTAGGGTACTGAAAGTCCTTGTTGGCCACCATTTCTTCGGTGAGATTAAATCGGTTCCCGTCGGTTAGTGGCGGCCCACCTGGACCGTTGGCATACGACAAAGTCGTATAAGGACTCTTGCCTTTATCGTTGGACGATCCACTGACCCCCAGAATGTCGTGCCCTCGCTTCGAGTAACCGGCCAGGGACATTGTGTGCGCATGATCTGCTGTGACCAGAATCAACGTATCGTCCGCACTGGTATGCTGAGTAGCTAGTTGTACGGCTTCCGACAGTTGAACCGTTTCATCCAAGGACTTCCGGGCTTTCGTTTCGTGGTGAGCCAAATCAATTTTACCGCCTTCTACAAACAGCACGAATCCCGCGGGATTTTTCTGGAGGGTTTTGATAGCTGCGAAAGTGAGTTCGCTCAAGCTGGGATCCTCTTGAGGGTTACTGTCTATGTGATACTTCATGTGATCGGAGTTGAACAGACCCATTAGGTATTCCGTTTCATTGAAATTGATACCCATGAGTTCTTGTTTGTTGGTTACGTACCTAGCCGAACCCAGGGGCTTGCTGTAGTACCATTCCGAAATGAGATTGACTCCATCCATGCGCTGACCAGCTTTGTCTGATGGATCCTTCTCCGACTTGGGAGTGAACTTACGTCTTCCGCCTCCAAGGATTACGTTGAATTTCCTACCAGGGTCATTTCTCACAAGTTGCGATGCAATGTCTTGGCACTGGTTTGGATCCGTTTGTTGCGATAGAATATCGGCATCGCATTCATATTCCCGATTGGGTACATGGGCGTACGTTCCGGCTGGACTGGCATGAGTGACCCTCGTTGTGGTTACAATTCCTGTGGCTTTTCCTGCCGCTTGGGCCCAGCTCATGATTGAGTGTACGTGATTCTTTGGATCATTGCTAGCCGCGCAGTTGTTATATTTGACCGCAGCTGTCACACCGATGGTGGCATAGTTGGCCTTAACCCCGCCTAAATAAGCCGTCGCTGAACAGGCCGAGTCCGCAACCTGCTTATCCACGCAGTAGGTCTGTGTGCAAGATGGGTACAAGAAGTAACATTTATTATATTGATTTGAATATAGAAGAAGAATGACTAGAAGCCAGTTCAAGTATCGGACTGTGCCTTATATGGCAGAGTTCATTGGTGACGGAAAGTAATCTATTATTATTATTCCATGCGCGTAAACCTGTGCGGGTAGGTGGCTTTGAGCGGTTTATTTGCTCACGGTTGAATGAGTTTGATGGCTGAAATTCGCACCCAATCGGACGAGCAACCAGTGAGATAGCGGCCAAGGATGTCAACTTGTGCAGAATGCAATACAAGATGATTGAGGTGACGAAGCGCAAGGTAATTTACCTTCTAATGCGCGATTAGTCTATGATTGAGCTTAATTATTATAACACTTTCACCTACTTGAAAACAAGCTAGCGACACAAATTAAAACAGGAACAATAACCACATTGAATGTCATTGCCGATCGGTCCCGAAACAACGATCAAAGCACTATCACTTTCCGTTCCATTTGATACTTACTCGACCGTGCGCGCGACCACACTCACCTTAACTAGACCAATGTCTGGAAACTCTTCGAATGAGAGTTGAGATTCCTCACCCGAGTGGCCTTGCTGCTGTCCCAGGTACATACGACTGGCGGCTAGCGTTGGGATCGACATGCCATCTCCCAGGAAGAAGATCACATTTTTTGCCTTGTTGAAGTTTTTCCTCTTCAAAAGTTGCTCTTTGAGCTTCAACTGTGCACCAATGGTCCAAAACTGGGCCGTCTGTTCGTAGTCCGATGCGGATATCAAACGCTTCTGTCGATTTTGGGTACCTTCGTCGTCGCGATCACGTTCCGGAGGTGGATGAACTGTTGAAGATCAATAGAAAAACGATTTGTAATTATTAAATCTAATCCAATTTTTGCGATCGTGCATCTCTAACCATGTTCACTTGGCGTTGTTGTAAGATACTGGACAAATTCCTGCGATGGACTCCCACAGGATTGACGAAATACTAGTGATAGCACAAAACACACACCGATCGTACGAAGAAGGATCATTGCTGTTGTGCTGTTACAATGGATAATGACGGTTACCGCACGCGTTCTGTTGAACGATCACACTTCTTCTAGTGCCACAAGCAGCGTGTCGATAGTACACTTCGATTATCGAATAAGGTATGTATTACCCGCTCTTGCATATCTATAGAGAGAAAGAGAGGGAGAAGTGTGATCGTGCACGGAAAACACCAGTCTAAACTGATCGGTAACAATCGTCAGCGAGACTTCTTTTATATTGTGGTAAACTGAACCTGGTTCGGGTGCGTTTTGTTTGGTAAAATGAGAGACACACCACGGACCCCTATCTATACAATTATAGATAAACACCTACTCTCAAAAATGTTGCCTTCGTAAGACCGATCGACACGATTTAATCAAGCATTCAGCACAATTGAGAAGCGTGTGTCTTCTAAGGAGTCAGAAGATACAAACAAAAAAATGCAAGTGCATCTTCGTGTGACTATGCAGAAACATGTCAAGTAAGTGATGAGTGGTTCTAACTAAAGTTGTTGTACCTGCAGGCATTGTGAGGGGATTTTGCGTCATTATCGTATGACTAGATTTGTTCTTCCAGGGTTGCTGTGGTTTTCTTGATTGCAGTGGGAAGCAGTGAGATATAACACAACGCTAGCTACCAGCAATCATGGGCGATGAATTGCTTGATATTTGATGATTAGGTTTAAGGACTAGATATAGATTATATATACCGGAAACAAAATATGGTCAACAGTCAACAGAAGTAGTATTCACGTATACTTATGAAATATGGTTCAAACTGTGTTTAAATGTATGTTTAACAATTAACCATGGGTGCAGCGCATGGCAGTTTTGAACAAAACATCGATCAAGTTTTAATGAAGGCATAATCTACTACGATCAAGCACTTTTAGATTGTACCTTTGCAGGTTTGAATTGTGATATCCGATAAAGGGTACTAGAGTTTAGATAACACTCATACTTTACTTCCAGTTGAGGGCCACATTGAAATTGGAGTAGACTCGTTAGTTCGATATTCTCCTTAACTTGATAAAAATTCAGGCTGTTTCTATCACTTTCCTCAACCATTATGTCCTAACTTTAATGCTCTTAAAAGCATCTTTGCTTGATTGTCTAGGCTTGGGTAGTGAACCGAGGACTTCGCGCGATAAATTTCGCCACGGTTCACTGAAATTATGATATTTTATTGATGAATCTGATGTTTATTCAACTGATATAATTTCCTGAATTAACTTGACGAAAAAATTAGAATTGTTTACACGAACCGCAAAAAAAACCCTGAAACTGAGTGGATTATTAAGGTTTTTCAATTTATTCGTCATGCTGCACACTTAGATTTTTTTGCCGAGATGGGCACCACCGAGCAGCTCGGCATTTTATTTTGCTGGATCTCAGTGAAAAACTTGCTGAGATTCAGCTAACAAACGGGAATTTTGCCGAGATCTCAGCTAACAAACATATTTTTTGCTGAATTTCCAGCAAAATAAAATGCCTGAGGAGGTATAGAGCTGCATCTTATTATATGTAAAATACTTCTTCATTGCAGTAGCAACTATATTATCCATGTAAATGTATTTCATTATGTCATATTTTAATATTCTGATATATTTCATTTCTCCATTGCATATATTTTCATTATATAAATAAATACTGGGTTGGGAGGGAGCATCAGGGTATCATTCAAACTGAAACTGGACGATGGTATGATTGACAGCCGGAGTCTAGGAGGGAATAAACACTATCATTTTCTTTATCCTACCGATTCGATTGTGGTGGTGTGAATTCTACTCCAACAGTTTCAGGGCGATTGACGCGCCCTTCTTAACAAACCATCCAGTAGGAAGCTTAATAAGTATTGCGAATTGTGTTATTCGATTTGTTGGAGCGTATCGTTGGAAGGAGATTCTTAAATTCCCGTGGATTTCGCGTAAGTGTCTCTGCTTACGGGTCCACCCCTCCGTTTTTGGCCCTTCATACAGCGATATAGTGAATTCATATCGGTAGCTCAAATTGATCTTGCTATTGAGTGGAGCTGCATACAAGACAAGTCTTGAAAGGATGGTGGCTACCTTACATACAATTTCCAGCAAAATAAAATGCCGAGCTGCTCGGTGGTGCCCATCTCGGCAAAAAAATCTAAGTGTGTGGTTCTTGAACCCCACGGAAGTCTTCTCCTAACCGTTGGTTATGTTGGTTTGCCCGGCCATGTCTTGAAGTCCTAGACATAATCTTCGAGAGAAGTAATTGTTTACAAAAGCCTTTAGGCCCTTTTCCAGCTCTGTATTGAATTATAATTTCAAATTTGCGGTCCTTCAAAAATGCTCGTAATTCAGGGACTTGCGGAGATCTATGTATGGTAGAAAAATAAAAATTCAGGAGATTTTCTTGAGATTTATGACTTATAGAAAAAATACAAGTTCATAAACTTCTTTGTTGCTGAGACTTAACATTTTATTTTGGTTTCATTGAAGATTCCGATTTTTTTTATGATACAGATTTTTTTATGTTTTTCAAGATCCTTGTAGAAAAAATTGTACAGCTTGGGAAACTTTCCCAGGTTTTTGACCACTCTTTCAAGATCTTGGCGTTGGAATTTTCATCAAGATCAAGAAATAAGAAAAAAGAAATATGAGCAAAGTGAACGTGAAAGAATTTTCGAGATCTCAGTGTTGAACATTGATCGAAGAGTGCCTTGGACACATCACGTGCTTGTTGTTTATCGCCAGAGGTTTTCGCGCTCGTCTTCTGTCAGTGTTTCGCGCTGGTAGTGCTACGTCATCTGGCAGCATTTTTGTTTGAATAATTGAAAGTTGATACTTCAGTTTAGTTTTAACGTTTTCAGTAACCTTGTAGTGGTTGTGATAATGGTTAAGATCGTGAAATTAGTATGGAAATGGGATCGCTTCGCAGTGGCTAAGCAGCCCAACGTATTTTCATGGAGAATCATTTGATGAGCTTTGGAGAACGGCTTCCCCCTGGGGTGCTCATCTTGCCCCGGGGCGGTTTAAGAAAGTTACTTTTTTTTAATTATTTAAAAAAAATCAAGATTCAATTCATTGAATTGTATCAATGCATAGGTGCTAGAACATACATTGAAGATCTAGGGTAGACAATGTTAGACAGTATCAATTGCAATTATTACATATAAAATGATGACAACCTTAGGGTGGCCATCTTGCTCCGTCTTCCCCTACGTATCAATGAAGAGTTGCAAAGTTTGAGTGCAGTGTTTATGATAATCTCAAGATCTACGAGGTGTATACATCTGAAAATTTCAGACATTCCTTGCTTCTCCGCAGCAAACAACAAGTAGTAGTTTCAGCTACGTACATTAACAGAAATCTTATTATTTTTACATGTGAAATCAGGGGTTGAAACAGTTGACGTTTTTTACTACACTCGCTTCGTTGTCGCGCGCGACAGTCTGTTTTTATTCCTACTCTCATGCTCTACCGTCATCTCTCTCACACAACACAACGGGTAGAATAACATTCGAGCGAAAAGAAAATTATCAAATAACTATCATATGACATGAGTAATTTCGTTCTAATTCCTCAATTTGGTGTAAATTAAACCATTTCTGATCAGAAATTTTATTCCTAGGACATCATTGCTTGCTATTTTCAGAATTCACACAAGCACAACATCAGCAGCTCTTATTATGAGAAAAACTAAAATACATACATTCGTGACGGTCTTCGGCGACAATGTCATATGACAGAACCTGTCGTATGACATTTGAGTTTGGTACTGTACTATGATAGCTTGTTTTCCAAGTTTCGGAGGCAAAAGCAGTCAATTATAACAGAAAATGTGTCGAATACCGTGACCGATTACAAGACTGTGTGAAATTGCGAAGTGTAACACGAAAAAGGACACTACAGGAAATCACCTTAAGCATAAAATTAAAATGGAAAATTTAACAAAACGATCCGGCTGAATAATAATTGTAGTTTCCCAGTTCAATTTTAATAAGACTGACGATAAACTTTCAAAACCGGCAAAAGAAAAATCAATCCAAATTCCATAATACTTTGCGACTCATAGGTCGAGAATTCCTGGTGTACTGCAATGCTGCTATTTTCCTGATCACTGTAAACAAACAAGCTCGATTATTAAAGCTTGTTGTACCAGTCAAGCTTCCAACTTCATGGATTCCGTTTGCACACTATACTGGAACATTGACTTAATCATTTGATGAACAAAAAAGGTTTCACACAAATCACCACCAAGCTTGATCTAGATTAAATCCTAATCAATTAGTTATGTTTGTGGATGTAACCAATCAATATATTATCCATGGGCACAAATCGATTTTTACGGCTAGCATGTGAGTTTAGATTGCGCAAGTAGAGTGGCCATAAAGTCATTACAATTGGTTTTTAAATCGCCCAATATCCAATAATAGTATTCCAATTTGTAAAGTAGCTTGGAATAAGATTTCCATCTATGCACAAATTTTACTATAGACATACATATTTATGATAGTTCGATATCAATTGGGTTTTTTAATTTTGAAAAATATATTATTTTTTATACATCATCTGAAAGAGCTTCGTTTTCTGAGCACAGCGATATTTTTTTCGAACCCAAACACTTTCATCTCGATTTTTTAATAAAGATTTAAAGCAAAATAATAACTTCACTGTTTGAAACTAAACTGACAAACTGACAGCTCGCTCCCATACAAAGTGACACCGAGGGGCGCTAATAAGGTGATTTTTTCAAATGTAATCGAACTTATTTAAAATAGTTCCAGTGTACCAAAATTGATGAAATTTTGGGGTTGGGTTCCATTTTTTATGCAGATTACGAATATGCATTTACCTCAATACCCTTAAAGAACCCAATTGAGGCTTTTACCGCACAGGGTTTACCGTTGTTTGCAAATACAAGGATACAGCCTAAAATAAACGATTTTATAAAACAAAGTTTATGTTCATTTTTTTTTTTTTCTTTGATTTGTTTTCCGTCGATCTTGTTTTCCGTGCTGAGCACCAATGCTACCGACGCCAGGAAGGCAGCTCCCACACTTGGACCCTACCTATCGACCCATCAACTCATGAACCGGGAACCAACGGCTTTACTTCCCTTCCGAAGGAAGGCGTGATCAGAGATGTTATGCCTCAGAACATCCCGGCGGCACCGACTGGGATTGAACTCAGGCCTGCTGGGATGAGAGGCAATCACGCTTACCACTACACCACCGGTGCCGTTTATGTTCATAATAAATAGTATTTTAATTCTTTTTCACTGTCGAAACGTGTCATTCTATTCACTGTCAAAACGAAAAGATAATGGAGGAGAATAATGAGCTCAATGAGAAGTTTAAATCAATGGTCAAGGCCCAAGTGCAATTTGGGCGGAAGCGAAACGGAAACGATAAGTTTGACAGCTGCCACAAATGACATCAAGATGCCTAACCGAAGTCGATTTGATTCTAACTAGTTTTCAATCCGACAAGTAGGCTTACTCAGATCGG